AGTGTCGAACTTCAGGCAGGGTGCTGAAAGAGGGGAATTAAGCAAATTCAGAGGCTCGTGGGAGTTGCAGACGATTCTAGTCAATGTCAGGGTATCTGAATCTCATAATTCACACCATGAAAATCAAAGAAAGCAAGTTCCAGAGAAAAAATTACTTCCTGCCGGTGCACATGGCTCATAGTAGGCTTCAATGTTTTTGCGAGCTTCAACTACCTGAAAGATGCAAATGGTGGAAGAAGTTGAATCAGATTACCCCATACATATATAATCAGAAGTCAACAGGATGATGGAAATCTCCAGGTCTGGAAGCTGAACGACTTGCGTTGTTCCCATTGTCGGTGCAGCTTATGGTTCCTGCAAACTCAGCGAGTTGCGCCAGGCTGACCAGGAGGAAATGAAAATTCTCGGACTCGAGGTCCTCCTGTTGGCCAAAATGACGGGATTAGAAGACCTCCTATGAGAAAACAGTAGCTCAGTCCAAAGTTGACTCCGATCTGGGCCACGTTGTGTTGCTGCACGGATGCTGCCGTTATCTAATAGGAATTTTCTGAAGGCTTTCACGCCTTCAATAGCTTGACAACCAATTTTGTGATAACGTACTACTACAAATGGCTGTATCGTTTTAGGTAGTGTTCCTATTACTGTTCTCACAGCATTAAAATAATTAAATTTCATTTTGAATAAAGCGAGAATGGATTTGACCACCCGAATCGTTGCTCGGAACCTACTGTAGCAGGGAACGGAGGGAATTCAAATTTCGCGAGAACAGGATGGTGGGCAGAGACGGCCAAGCTTTCAGCCCCTTTTTGTTATCAGAGTAAAACAGAACCTCTATAGCTTCAACAGTATGAATATCCCTTTTTGATGAGACAGAACCTCTGTTGCTTGTGAACATTCTAGAAGTATCACCATTAATGCCCCTGTGATAATTGAACCCTGCCAACCAAGAATGATCCAATACCTTATGGAGAACGATCGAATGATCCCAAATATTTGGTTCTATAGGAATTTGGAGGAGTACTGCATAGATGTGGCACGTACAGCATGCGGTCCACAGCCAGGCGTAGAGTTGGGTGATAAGAACGCCTCAAAAGATGGGCTCAAGATGGAGAAAGAAATTAAATTGCCATATTGTCTTCCTTCGTCTCACTCATGACTTAGCGCTCATGTTCAATAAGCAATATGGAGAAATAGCGACAATATACAATATTACTAATTCAGCAAGCTCAAGTCAAGCTCCAGAACAATGGGAGCTCTGAAAGAGTTTTGTCAGGTCTCTGTAGTTCGGTGCGACTTTGAAACGCTTACCCATGCAATATGGATTTGGATCAGCTTAAAATTTCGAAAACTCTTTGGGCACTTCTTTCAA